CTGAAATATGATCTGAGGGAGAAGATTATTTTGGAACAACTGCAACGACATGAGCACTGAGCTTGGATATAATAAGATCGGTGGCCTAAGGCTGAGTAAGTCCACCTGTCCGCACAGACTGCAAAACTTTCCGAAACCTGCCGTCTAGGTGGCCATGAACATTATAAATATTCAGCATGCACATCTGTTCTAGCAAAGGGCAACATTTGAATGTTTCAGTTTGAAAATGTTGAGTCAGCCTGCTGTCAGTTGCTTTTCCATGGTTGAAGGACGATTGTATCTGGGGAAAGTATTTAGTTTCAGAGGACGGGAGGGCTTGTGTTCACAGTGTATTTGTACCTCATTTTGCTGATTTGGAGCTGAGATCTGATGACTAATCTGTATGTGGCTGGCAATCACTCTTGTTGGGCTGTTAGGGTGTTTTACATAAGAGGCTGTCTGAGTTGTGGATTTTCAGAATCGGGCTCTCTTGTGAGGCTCAAAGGGGCACTTATATAATCCATCAAAATATTAATCACAGCTCAGTGCTTCAGTCGCCACGGGCTAGCTTTACTACCATGAATAGAGGATGGGCATCTTTTAGTTGTTCTACCACACACTATGCTTGTATAATAAGGTACTTGCTTAGTGAGTCACTGATGCCAAGTAACCTTGTTAACAGAAATTCAAGGTTCACTTCTTCCACCATGTAAATATTTTTCCATATTATTTGGTGTCTGATATTTACATTCTGGATCTGTGTGTATGTTTCAGACAGGGGAAACAAACGCTCCCAGGGAGACTGATCCCTCTGTGCCCAGCAAAGAGGACATCCCTACCTTTGATGAATGGAAGAAGCAAGTCATGGAGGTGGAAAAGGAGAAAAGTATGTGGATTTATTGTACAGACACGAGACAGCTCATACAGGGATAACTAGAGACGCGTCACATGAACAACTAAGTTCTTGTTTAAGTTTGGGTTCAGGCACCTCAAAAATAGCTCGCTGATGTTAATCTGACTGTGACACAACATGTTTATGCCATTGCTTCTGTAAAGTAGACTACTTACTACCAGTTTGTATGCTGCGTCTTTTCTCGGTTGCATCCTTATGTTCTGTTCCTGTATAGCTTCCTTCTTTTTTTCCCCTTCCTTTTCACGCTATGCACACTGTGTGCAGCAGTCAGTGGAGCATGTGTTTATGCATGTTGTGTAATATGTCTATTCTTTGCGGTGTGGCACCACTCATTTTCAAGGCTCTCGAAAAGACCTAATGTAGTGCTTTCTCTGTCCAGGTCAGTCTCTCCATACCTCAACCAGCAGCAGCCCCCATCCAACAAAGAAGGTCCAGAAAAACTTCAAGAATAACTACGCTTCTGTAGAGTGTGGAGCCAAGATACTCTCTGCCAACAGTGAGGCCAAGGTTAGACGCACATCAC